GACTAGATGTGATGGAAAGACAAAAATCCATTACTTATCCGACAATCAAATCCGTGGCCAGTATTGAGATAACAACATAAGAGTTGACACTTTGAATAATATTCATCGCATAAAGTATTTGCCATTTAAATGAAAAAATTTATATTCAAAAAAAATTTCATATTTGAAACGAAAGCTCAACTATTGTTGGGAAAAAAGAAACTCAATTTAGTGGGAGTTTTCACATCATATTCTGTGATAAAAATATAAATTTAAAAAAATGATTTATCACTTGATTATCAGAAATACTGTTGAAATATGCTTTTCATGTCTTATAATATTAATGAGACTATAGTTTTGAAGAATCGATACATACTATCGATTCAAATCAAAAGCATATAATAAATAAAAATCAATTAAAAGCTCATTAAAATCAACAGAATTTGCCACAAAAAATCGTTTTCAGTCCAATACTTTAAAATCCAATACTAAATCAAAACAACTAAAAACAATTGAGCGCTTAATACAGGTCTCGGCGGTCGGTTGTGTCCATACGGTTCGTGTGGCCACTCGTTAAGCGCCGAGTCGTGTATCAATGTGTGAGTGAGTGAATAGTGTGAGCGATTGGTGTGACAGATGGACAGTAATAGTGTCTCATTGGGAACAGTCATCAGTGGTCAGTCGTCGTCGTCGTCGTCTCCCTTAACGAATATCTCATATTCTTCGAGAACATTAGCGCCAAAGCGGGCAAACATAGCGCCCGCATAAGTGCCCACAATTATGGTCAGCGCGACCTTCAAGAGGCCGAACCTAACTTTGGGCGGCTCTCGAAACAGGTCCTCGTCATCGCTGGTCATATCGCCGGACGAGCTCTCACTGCTCGACGTATAGGCGGCGCCCGTTTCCGGAAAGTCCGCCGCCGGCGAGTCCTCTGCCGATGGTTTCTGTCCATCGTTTGGCTGTTGAAAGATATGACTCGATATCGATATCAAACGCCTATTGATTACACGATTAGTGTTACTATAGTTTTGGTCACACTTTTGCCATAAAAACAATTTGCGTCTAAATATGGTTAACACGAGAAGTGATCTCCAATTGTGGCGATGGCTATGAAGGCAACAATTGTTGCCCAAACCTGTCGTCATAATAGTCTTGGTTGGGATCCGATTGACGTGTGTCTCATGTCTGGCGTGAATGCGGGGCACAAACGGCTTGTGGTGTAACACATGATAAGTAGCGGTCAATCGGTGGATAACAACACTGTTATTATGACTTAAATTCAATGGCATTTCATTGAAATGAAAACACAATTAATTGAAACTTTCAATACTAATGACAACAATAATAGTGAAGGCATTTAATTGGGAAAAATCGCGATTCACTTCATTATAAAGCAGTTGTACTCAAAATATGCTCTCATTCTGTGATTATTACACTTCAAGTGATTATTCATTCATTCATGAAATAAAACACAAAATATAATATCAAGTGATTTGTAATTTCCTTAATTGTAATAATATTTACAAATATAGTGTATATTATTAGATACTAAACGAGAGAGTAATGTATTGGCATTGCATTGAAAGTGTAGTGAATCACAGAATCACAGGTTATGTAACGCTTATGCTATGCGAGCGATGAATACAGTGTTGGAAGCGATGGCACAAACACTCCAATCGTTACTATTTTTAGTACACAAGTAGTAAACATATGATTCAACGCGTGTTGAACGCCATCTCTATACACAGCATACCGTAGAAAATATACAGTAGTGTTGGTTAATAACTGGGAAAATACTATATTCCCTATTCATTGTACAATAGTTGTAAGAATTTAATATTTTCTAATTGAACATGCTGAATTGTAATTAATCTATTTATAGATTACAAGTTAAAACTTGTTGTTTTTTGTGTGTAATGATAATAGTAGTTGTTTTTGTTTGATAATGGTAAATATATTAAAATAGCATGATCATACTTTTTTACCAATGTTTCCCTTCCGTAGTAAATAACAAACACTATATTTACAGACAATTGTCGAGACATTGAGACAAAACACGAATTGAAAAGTTGTAAACAAACAATTGATTTGACATTTATTTGGTCTCTAATTAATAGTCATTGACTTTTGAATGAATGTCACAAACAATTGATCCCTAATTGAATCGATTGTGTGTTTTATTTATTATACCGACAAATGAATTGACTTTTAAATCAATTTACAAATCACTTCAATATATATTTAAACGTCAATTTAAATTAGCCTTTGATTTAACACGTGTTTAGTGTGTATTCAATGAAACCCTGCATTAAAAGTAAGTTTTAATTGATTTATATTTGCATTGCATTTATATTACTATTAAATTAATGTAATTTAGTTGATATACATTAACGTGTAATACAGTTATTAGATTTAATTAGTTTTAATTAATGATTAATTACTACTAATATGTAACTGAATTAATGTCTATAAATTTGTTGAACATTGAATGGTAAGCAAAGGTATGTTTAAAGCGATTGTTTGAAAACAATATGCGAAACAAATTGTGTTATATTTTCATATGTTTTTAACGTTGTTTTCTATGCATTACATAAAAGTGAGTGAAAATAAGTAATAACACGGCTTTGATTGACGGCTAAACAGTACTAACGGTAATCACTTCTCAGATCTTCTCAGACATGCATTTGCTATCATATCATCACAAAAGTTGCCCAAAGTTTTGTAATCTATTGAGACGTTTGAGTCGATGTACGTATGGGTCGAGAGCGACGGCGACCGCCTCTCGGGAGCCCAAGACTGAGGCCGAGATGAAGAGTATCCGAAACGTGGGTATAATAGCGCACATCGACGCCGGGAAGACCACAACCACTGAACGGATGCTCTACTACTCGGGCCAGACGTCGACAATGGGTGAAGTGCACGACGGAGACACTGTTATGGACTACTTAGACCAGGAGAGGGAGAGGGGTATTACCATCACATCCGCGTCGATCACATTTGATTGGCGAAAACATCGCATTAATCTGATCGACACTCCCGGACACGTGGACTTCACCGTAGAGGTGGAGCGAGCGCTCAGCGTATTGGACGGCGCCGTCGCTATTCTGGACGCGTCGGCCGGCGTCGAGGCCCAGACAGTGACCGTCTGGTCTCAGGCCGACAGATACCGTATACCAAGGATTTTGTATTTGAATAAAATGGATAAGAGTTCGGCCAAACTTGAAGATTGTGTTACGAGTGTTGAGCGAAAGCTGGGCGTTAAGCCGATCCCAATTCATATGCCTTTGGGCTCCGGGAAAGGGTTTAACGGTGTCATCGATTTGGTGACTCTGGAGCGACACGTCTGGTCGCCGCTGTCCGACACCGACGGCAAAGTGTACGATACGAGTCCATTACAATCGAGTGATGACTTGTACGCTAAGGCACAGCACTTAAGGGAAGAACTGATCGGTTCTATCAGTGATTTGGACGATAAGTTGTCCGAAGAAATACTGAACACCAATCAAATTGAAGACATAAGCGTTCAGTCGGTGCAGAACGCTCTGAGACGAGTGACTATTAAACAATTAGGGTATCCATTACTGTGCGGCAGTTCCTATAAAAACACTGGCGTTCAGCTCCTGATGGACTCGATTTGCCGCTATTTTCCGAGTCCTTTAGAGAAAGTACGCCAAACACAGGCCCTATATTCGGGCCAATTGTGTGCCTTTGCCTTCAAAATTGTTTTCCACAAACGGTTGGGTTGTCTCACATTTCTGAGGCTATATTCCGGTGACTTAAAGGCCACGCAAACCATGTTTAATGTGAATCGAGACAAACCCGAAAAGATTCACAAAATATATATGGCTTTTGCCGATGACTTCCGCGAAGTCTCTCATCTCAGTTGCGGTAATATAGCGGTCGTGACCGGACTCTCGCATACCATTACCGGCGATACGTTAGTCACATCTCAGTCGGTGGCCAATGATGTGAGTCTAGCGTTGTTTATGCATTTATAGCTTATTAATTGGGTTTTCATTGAATGGTTAGGTTAAAAGAAAAAGTGGTAAAGAAAGTGAACCCATATTTGGCGGCCTATCAGTGCCCGAACCCGTGTTTTACTGTTCCATAGAATCTCCCTCTTTGTCCAAATTAAAGGACATGGAGTTAGCGCTGACTAATCTCCAGAGAGAAGATCCATCGTTTCAAGTGTTTCCCGACAAAGACTCGGGACAGACAGTCATTAAAGGAATGGGAGAATTGCATATAGAGGTGAACGGAACCAACTTTTTTGAGTTTTTACTGAATGAGTGGTTAATGTGATAATTAGGTGATCAAAGATCGTATTCTTCGAGAGTATGGCGTCGACGCACATCTGGGACCGCTTCAAGTGTCATATCGGGAGACAATCGCCGGCACTGCAGTCGAAACCCTAGAAATCGATAAGATTATCGGCGGAACGAAGAATCGCATCACAATTGCACTGCAATTGTCGCCCAAATCCAAGAAGCAATGGCCGACCGATCAATTGGTTCGCGTTGTGGTCACCAAAGAGAACGAATTGGGATCTATTAGAAGCGATCGCTTAAAAGCGATTGAGACGGGAGTGCAAAATGCCCTCGATTTTGGCCCTCTTCTCTCCTTCCCAGTGATGGACGTTTCGGTCGACTTATTGTCATTTCAAACCACATTCAAGACAACCATTCCTATGATTATATCGACTGCCAGTCAATGCGTCACCAATTGTTTGAAGAAAGCGTCGCCACAACTACTGGAGCCCTATATGAGTCTTGAGGTGACGACACCCGACCGATATATCGGTGCCATTATTAGTGATCTATCGCAGAGACGCTCACAGATCGGTGACATGACCTCAAAGGGTGACCTAAGGGTAGTGAACGCCATAACCCCGCTCTCAGATCTCATGGATTACTCGACATTTGTGCGTACAGTGACTTCAGGAACCGCTAGTTTTTGCATGCATTTTGAATCCTATCGGCACATGAGTGACACCGATCAGCACAAAGCCATTCATACAACTACTGGTGTTTGAAATCAATTGATTGTTTTGACAATTGTATTCTCCTTCAAGAGGTTATGTTCAACAAAATATAGACAATAATTATTAGATTTTACGTTAAATTTATTCTATAAACTAAACAATAGATTATTTCAAGTAATTCTAGTTTTTTAATTGAAAAATAAATGCTATATTTTGTGGTTTGAATTGTTATTTGAATAGAAAGGATGAATTGGTCGCAACCATCGTCTCTATTGGACATAAGTTTTAATGAGGTGTTGGACTCGTGTACCAAATGTGTTCACAAGAGAAAACTCGATAACTTTGCGCTCAGAAAGTATTGGCAAAGTATTAGCGAATTGCCGGTAACTCTCAAGTGCCGACTCATCCAGTCGTTGAGCCAAAGACGGCTATTAAGTGACGAAAACATCTCTTATCTCATAAACAATGAATTGATTCGTTTAGATCTCAACGACTGTTTGAAAAGTGATTTTACCGTCAATTTGATTAGAAGGCACTGCTCTCGGCTCCGATACTTAGACTTAGGCGCACGCATTGCCAACTTCAACATGATATCAGCGCCCGCTCTCACACCACTGTTCCCCGCATGCAATCAATTACAACAAATACGACTCAGCAATTGTATCGAAGTGAACGACCAGGTGGTCGACTCCATGGTTCACAACTGTCACCGACTGGAAGTGCTGCAACTGTGCGGCTGTAGTATTACCGACAGAGCGGCCAAATTAATCGGCGATAACTGTCCAAACCTGCAGAGTGTGGATATGAGCCGTACGGTTGTGTCGGACGACGGTTTGTGTTACTTCGCGTCCAGTGTTTGCGCTAAGAGTGTGGCAGAGCTGATGGTCAACAACTGTTCGCACGTCACGGCCACAAGTGTTCGACTCATATCGGAGTGCTGTCCAAAACTGAGCATATTTTGCTTTCAGGGCACCAGAGCTACGATGGAATCCTTCTATCAGGTCATCGCTCGACCGCTTAATATCCAATTCGATGTTCCCTTCAATTGATTGTCCCTTTTATTTATTTTATACTTTAATCCATTTATTAATTTTTTACGTTTTTAGTTTTTATACCAATTATATTGTATACTAATATTTAAATTAATTAACCTCTTGTGATCGTAAATAAAGTTTTTAATTTTTATAAATATAAATCGATTACTATTATTGCATCAATTTTATCAAAAATTTACAAATTATTTTGAATACAGTAGTACTCAGACTGAAGCAGTGCTGTCCAGTGTTGGACACAATCCACACATTCGTACTCTTATTCTTAAACACTAAAAGCAAACGAGTCTTTAGTCTGATTTCAATCAGTGATTTGTATTCATTTACTTATCAAATATGCAAATAATTGTCCATTTATTGAGTTAAGCATACATTTGTGCGAACCGTTTAATTATGAATTGTTTATTTCAATGCGTTTGGTATATGCAGTCAACGGAATATAAGTAACAGTAATTATTAATTATCAAAAAAATTATGAATTCAATTGTGAATTAAATAATTGATAATTAACTTAATATATTAAACAAAATTGTAATAATAATAATTAAATGTAAATAAGCGATTAGTCACTGCATATTCACAGCGATTGCCAAATAAAACGCATTCATAATTAATTAAACACACATTAATTACAAAACTTTAATTTATAAATTGTTACCTAAAATAGTGATAATTTAAATATTCATTAAACAAAACAATTAGAAAGTTGACTAATAAATGAGATTGGTAGGTTGCCATCAAGTGCACATTTATTATGTACGTGATAATGGTTTGGCGAAACACCTGGCCACTTTACCACGGTGCTTTTCACGCGAGTGCTCGTTGAACGCCCGCTTACTCGTGAACCGATCGCTGCAATGATAGCACACAATCCGCTGTCCCTCGTCCTCAGTGGTCACACTCTCATTGGTTTTCCTATAAATGACAATAAAAAATAAATTTCATTATAAACTCGTTAATAATACGTGTAATTTATAAAAATAAGTGTCGAGATCTCGATTCAAATAATAAACCAGTTTTTATAATAAAAATCCATTACTTGGTTCTCATTAAATACAAGACTATAAAAAATATTGTTGACATATCAGACATATTTAACTATAAACTTGTTTGCAATCGTTTGAATACAAGGCCAGATTCCTCTCAATTCATGTTTCCAACTGTTTGAATCCAACACAAAGTAATTGTATTTATTTATAACTTTTATTTAAAGTATAATATTTTATTATAACGCGAATCACGAAATGAATTGCATAAACACTAACAGCTGAATATGAGAGCTTTGAAAATAACTACTTATATTACATACTATACTAATGACAGCACATTTAATGCAAATATTTAACTAAATTCCTGTCACTATATATGAGATGATTGTTGTCAACACTCCAAACGCCCAAAAAACACTTACTCAACACCGCGTCCACTGATCGATGGCATGGGAACTGATGTCGACTGTTCACCAATGGGTTCATCGCTCCTTCGGGACAGTTCTTTGTCCACCGAATTAATATCGCCTAAAAGAGAGTCAATTTTCTCTCCACTATCACTGGTTTTGTTAGATTTCTTTGGATCTGCTTTCGCCGCCTTCTTGGCGTCGGATCTCTTCGCACTTTTGTCGGCCTTTGGTCTGCCCCTCGACTTGGATGACGCCTTCTTTAAGTCATTAAACGCTTTGGCGAGAGTCACAGCGTTGTCGTCACATATCTTATCGCACAGTTTGGCCGACATTTGTTTCTTTTTGTTCTTTTCGTACTCCTTATAGATATTATAATAGCGTTCGAAGACGTCTTCGCGCATCCGTTTCTTACAAACAATAAGCTCAGTTGTCTTCGTCTTAGCCGTCAATTGTCGCTCGAAGTCGTCCTTCACTTGTTCCAGAAGTCGCCGAATGTGGGACTCAATAGTCTTATTGCTATTCACGTCTATAAACTTCTTCTGCAGAGTTTCCCATTCATTGTCGGTAAATGTGGTGTTCGTCTGACAAGTGGCCAAAAAGTCACATTCAATAGTAAAATGATTGTGCGATTCATTCAAATGTTTGGCTATAAATGAGTCACAATTGGGAACCATTTGTTTACAGAGTTTACACTTCACTGATAGCCAACAGCAGTGTTGCCACAAATGGTTCATAATTTCGGGAAACTTCTGATACCTTTTGGCCACTCTTTTGGTCAGTTTCGCTAACCGTTCACAAAGAGGACAGCTATAGAAGTGTGAGCTCTGGTTCTTGTCATTGTCTTCGTAAGAACACAATTCCCACTGTTTTAAGAGAAACCGTTGGATCCAATGGATCACCATTCCCGAAGTCCCCGATTCCCCGAAGTGTGTCTCGATGTGAGACTTCGCAGAATTAGAGTCGTTATACGTTTGATCGCAAAACAAACAAATCCTATAGTTTTCTCTACCGCTCGACAGCGAAACAGTGGTCGCCTTCGGGTGCGGCTCTTTCACCGCAATCGCAACGTTAACTTTGGGCCGCTTTGAGTGCTGATCGCTTTGTTCATCGCTTTCGGGACCTCTCCTAACGGCCGCACTATTGGTGTGAATTGTCTTCTGAGTGGACGACACGCTGTTGTCCTGCGGTTCGAGTTTCGGCTTAACTATCGTCGCGTCGAACGCAATGATAGCGTCCATCTTATGAGTGGCCGTCGCCGCCGACGAAGACGTCACCTGCGGTTCGGGAACGTAATACAGGATCGGAAAGTCCGGGTGTTTCTCCACGCAGTGCTCCACCACTTGTCGCAGCACTTCATTCATGAACAGACAGTACAGACACTGATATAGTGTCTCATTCATGCCTTCACTGTTCAAACGCTGGACTTTAAGTTTGCGGTAATAATGGTATAAACTTCTGGAGGGCTTCTCAATGTTGGGCGTCGTGTCCATCAATTGGCAGATAAACACTTTGGACGCCGAGTCCTCTTTGCAGCCATCGATGGCTTTGCGGAACTGTTGCGCGTGTTTTGTCTCCTGATGGACAAACAGGTGATCCTCAGTCACCGCCCGATAGAGACAGTGACTGCACTGAAAGCGGCGGAACAGATGCCTCTTAAGCATATGTTTGATGAGATACTTGTGTTTGTAGTACTTGAGCGCCGTCTGATTGGACGGTATCTGCGAGCAGTAGATGCAACAGAGCTGATCCGTCGGGTGACACTTTGTGAGGTGAATGTCGAACTGGAGGGCAGTGTTACGGGTGGCGAAACACTTGCGCGCTTTGGTGGCCACCTCTTCGTCGGACTCGTCGGAAGTGTTGGGGTCTTTGGATCCCAAATATTTGGTGCACTTAAAGAAATTGCATAAACTCTTGATAATCTTCGACTCGTTTGAGTCCACGTCGAAGACCACCACTTCTGGCAGCGCTTGTTGTCTGTCGTGACGATACTGTGCGACCCATTCGGGCAGAAGTGGCTCCGCGTCAACGCCATTGCCATCGATGGTCATTGTCTCGCAGTTGGCGCCCGAAGTGGACGCACCGGTTGTCGTGTCTCTGTTGATGGGATCAGTCATTGGCCGCCGGATTAGCGCTAAGCCATTGATTGTTTGCCACAAAATACATGTTTTCGCTAATTATATGCAGTGATTGACTGATCAGTGATTATGTGTTGGAAATAAATAATTAGGTTTTGAGACATTCAAAAACATTGTGTGAATATTTTGCGGGATTTGTTGTCAACGCTATTCACGTGTTGACGATTTGTATTGAAAATACACTCATTTAGTCCACAAACAGTTTGCATAGTCTGTACTTAAAAAGTGACGGCAAGCGATGCCTATATGACGGGCGACATCGCGTGTGCGTTGAGTGCACTAAACAGCGATGTGTTGTGACGTCACATATCTCTACCACTTCTGGTAATCGACACAAAAGGGGCCCAAATGTGGCGTTAAATGCGTCACACATTTTGCGTACGACTTATAGTCGCGTGAATTGTACGCCGAAAGCTATGCCTCGATATCTGGGAATCGATTTCTTCGACACCAATCGATACAAACACTTAAAGCCATTGATTCTTAGCGACGAAGATATCACCCGATCTGATCCGCGAATACAGACACCACTCGGCGCGCCAACAGTGGCCCAAACTAGTGGTGAAGCAGTGATTCCTCCGCAGCCAATGCCGCCACCGAAAAGAGCGGTCACTTTCAGCGATCGCATTGATTTGATTCCCGATTTCGGGCCAAACATTGTGGCCAATACTCACGCGTCTAATGGTTTGTCTCTGTCTTTGGATCCGTTTCGTGTGTTTAAGACATTTGTTTTACCGCTTTTTTAGATGACTTTCGCCCGATTCTGGACACCACTAATAGACAGTCAATCCCTGAACCGCGCCATCAGTTCACTCGACCATTGAGTTCGGGATCGACTCAAGAGTTTGGGAACCGATTGACAATAGCGTCGACGCAATCGAAACTCTTTGACAAATCTTTTGATATCGATTCCGATTGGTTTCAAAGCCTGATTCCGAAGCGTTTATATGACACACAACGGCGACCGCTGTGGACATCGACAGCGGATCCGTTGAATCAATTGAATAACAGTCAACAGAGACTCACAAACAACGAGTCTTTTGTGTCAATAAATGAATCTAAAAGTCAGTCAAGTGTTGGCAATAAGCCATTGGATCAAAGGTCACGAGCTATACGTTTGAGTGATTTGTCCCGAGTATCACATACGGGACCCGTTGGCCAAACTTCTTGTAACTCTTTGCCAAATGTTTCAGAAAGCGGTTCCAATTGTCTTAAGAATCGAGATATGATTTCATCGTTGGATTCAAGAGTTTCCAAACCATTGAACGAAACGATATTAAAGAGAGACTCAAATAGATTTCAAATGAAAGAGTGGTTTAATCCAAAGATATTTGGATCCAATTCTGTGCGAATGGAAACGCAAAGTGTGTCTCGAAATGAAGAACCGATTCAAACAATTAAAGCCGATTTACAGGCGAAGAATCAAGTGTTGACTCAACCAATCGCTCCTCATTTGGACGCAAAAGAGGAAGAGATGTCCGAAAACTTTTCGACACTAATATCAGGCGTCGGTTCGTATGAAACCACTCAATGGCCTCCATTTCAAGACAACCGACGCCAACAACCGATGCATACAATTAATGCCGATTTACAGATGAAGAGTCAAGTGTCGACTCAACCAATTGGTGGTCATTTCAACACAAAGACTAAAACAATGTCTGAAAACTTATCGAAACTAATATCAGGCGTGGGTTCGTATGGACTCAATCGTTGGCCTCAATCTCAATACAACCGAAGCCAACAACCGATGCATTCAAATGAAAGAAACTCTTTTCGCAGCGATTTATCACTTATTATGAATTCGAGGAAAGAGAAGAAGAGTTACAACACTTACAAACCGTACGATAGATATACCGCTTCTGGACAGCCGTCCGGTGCGGACATGGATTTCATGAGACGCGAGAAAGTCTTCACAAATAACACGACAGCGTCTGAAGCAAAGAGCGGATACTTTGCCGGAAGTGATGGCAATCGCGAGAAATGGACTCAAAATAAAAGTGTGTCCAATAATATGAAGTCTACTCCCAAACCATTCACTCCTAAAGTAATGAATGAAGTGATGAACAAATACTACAAAACATTTGATCTCAATCTAAATGAAGAATAAAATAGTTTTAATTTAATTCTACTTTAATTATATCTATTATTAAAAATAATATCAAACCATTAATTAAATCAATTACAATCACATTTAATATCAATAGAAATTTCGTATAAATATTTCAATTCATATCAAAACATACATTTTTTGTTAATGAAAAAACACATTAAAACTTATTTTCTGTCAATTTATGGGAAACAAAAAGTAAAATGATTTATAAAAATCACAAAAGTTTATAAAAATATATAATATTATTGTCTTAAATAAGAACAACGATGTCTTCGGGTGGTCTCACTCTCTTCCATACTCGACGCCATTCAACCAAAAATACTGGAGTGAAGTGTTGGTTAAGTATTGAAAAAAGTTTGACAAACATTCTTGACATGAATGGCGCTCTTCGGGAGCCAACACTTGGAGATCGAGACCGCAGTCGCAATGAATGTCGCAATCAATTAGCTTAAGGTCTTGACAAACGGGCAAATTTGCGGTCAAGTTCTTCAACAAATTGGGAAACACCGGTCCTCTCATCTCAACGCTTGACAACTCTTTGCCAATCAATGCAAACAATTGATTGGTGTCGGCGATGGGTTCGGCATTCATTGTGATCGACAAATTGTTTTCCAACAAATAGTGATTAAATTCGGTAAACGTCTGGCCACTGATGTTAAGGGCGCGAAATGACTCCAATTCAACGAGCAATTCATAAATAGCTTCAATCACACCAAACGAGTCGTGAATGAACTTAAAGTCGACGTAAATCTCTCTAATGTGTGGCCCATTTCGTCCCGTAAGCCGTCGTATCGATTGGGGAGTGAGTCGATCGCACCTAATAATGGCCAGAGTATGAAGTGTCGGACTTATGTCGCGGAAAACAAACTCCATATCTTGTATACAGTCTGTTATGATCAGCACTTCCAGCGCTACAAACGATGAAACCATTTTGCGAACACTTTGCCACTCATTTAGAGTGTTTCCCGCGAATGAGAAGTGAGTCAGTCCTACAAGAAGACAGAAAACATGATATAACGATATAAACAGAAGACTAAATCAATAAATAAATGAATGGTTAATACCTGCGAGAGGCTTCACAAACTTATTCCAATCGGTTCTGACGATACCGTGAATGTCATCGAAACGCAAACACTTTAAGTTATGAAAGGTTGCGATAATCCATTTCAGCGCTTGGGTCGTGACGTGACAATTGGCCAAATGGACGCATTCAACCGAATGCATGCCCCGAAAGAACGGCGCCAAACGATACACACTGTTGTCCAACTTTAGGGTACCGTCGGGTGCGGTGATGGCGGCCGAGAGGTCGTTGTATTCGCTGGTATTGTGGCGCCAATCGCCGCAACTCAGTGTCTCTTTGAGGCCAAACGTGACGCACAACTCCTGAGCGGCCATCTCTTGGACGACATGTCGCCAGAAATGACACACTCTTGTGATACCAAACCGTTGTTTAAGAGTCAAGTGAGAGAACACCTCATGAAGTAATTTGTAGGGCCCGTCGGACGCCGTTCTCAATGCATCGATTGTCACACAACTCACGTAAGCATCCATTGATTGGTCGGGTCTTTCGAGGCATCGATTGTCTTCATTGGATATAAAATTCAAGCGTTTCATTGATGGCATTCTCTTCATTTTGGTGATCATCGGTGGCGAACACGCCGTGTCTGACACCTGTGGCTCAGTTTGCTGTCCATCGCTTGTGTCTCCATTTAGATCCAGTTTTTCGATTCCCAACGATTTGGTCGATAACGGAGTGGACGTAAACTGGACTGAAGTCGACTCCATATCAATATTATCGGTGGTTTTGTTACTATCGCTCTCATCGGCGGTATTGTCTGGTTTTGGGATCACTTTTCTTTGGGCTCGTGTTATGGAGAGGATTGAGCCGAGATATGGCTTACCATTGAACAGCTCTACGGCCTGATCGGCGCCACTCTCGGTGTCATATCTAATGAAAATAACGGTCGGTTTGTCGGCCTTTCGTTTGATACAAACTTTGGCCAAATTCCCGAAATACTTGAAATTACTCGTACGGACGTCGGACTCATTCCAGTCGTCCGGCAGTCCCTTCACGGCCAACACGTGTCTCGTTTCCTCCCAAACCATTCCTCGACAGCACTATTGGACACAAGACTAGAGGCGATCGCTATAAAGATGAGAAAAACTAAACAGTAATGTGTGCTTAAAGTGTGCTTTTATGGCATCAATTGATGGCAAACACATTGAACTCCAAATCACACGCTATTATCGCAGGTGTGGTTAAAGTCTAATCCAATGGATTAACCATTCATTTGATAAAATACCTGTTAATCCGTAAATCGTTTCAAACAAACTAACTATTGATAGCTTTAACGCAAACAAACGAAAAAAAGTTTTACTGAAAACTGCAGTAAAAGTTAAAAAGCAATGGTTTTTGTGTCAATCGCTTGAAAAGTGTGTGAAATATAAATGTCTGACAAAAAAGCGAATGAATTGAATGAATGATAGAGTGTTTGAAAGCCTATTGTTTGCGACACTAATTGAAAAGGCATTCAAACATTAAATCCGATTATTTAGTGACGAAATTCTAGTCAAACTCTCATAGAATACAATGTGATTCCTATTCTGTGCCACACTTTCCATGCATTCAATGCAAACATTTTTGGCCAACAATTCATTTATTCACGTTATTTATGGTCTCAATTCAAACCGCATTTATATTTTTACATTCACTCAACTCGTGATCAAAGCGTTTTCTTTTACTGTAACTGTTATATAAATAATTGGGACCTTTTTATATGTAACGCAATGCCATCTCATATGAAATAGTATTAAATACTCGGCTAATAGTTGTCGTACTATTAGTTGTGAATAATAAGCAAAAGTCAGTTATATTTTGTGAGACATTTAACGCAACACTTAATTGTGATTATCTTTAAATTGGATCCGATTTGTGACTCAAACCCAAGACATCGAGAGAAGACACGTGTAGTCGATAACCCGCTGAAGACATGTCTGTAACGAACCAACGATTAAGAGTGGGTTTGACTGTTGGGAAGCAGTGGTGGCGTCGGGTGTTGTCGCCGCTGAGCGGCACGAGTGGTCACCGAATGGCCTCTTCTTCGGCCAACTTTCAGTTAAAACCGTTTAAATTGCATAAATTGGACGAATCGCCCGACACTGAAGTGACCCTCAATAGGGACGACGCCCTCAAGTATTACCGAGAAATGG